TGCAAAATTATTTGTTGTACTGTACAGCTCATTTGTGCATCTTATCTGGTTGTGTGCAGCCAAGTTATTTCTGTTTATCTGCTTACTTTAGAGTGAGGCACATAAAGCAAACACACACAGTACGTTTATCCTTGTGAATGTCATGTAGTGTATATTATAGCATGAGACTTTCACAGTGACTATTTTTCTGACCCTGTCTGTTCACAGGTCATGTTTTTTTGGTGTGTGCGTGTTTCTTCTTTCATTCACTGGATTGGATCTGTGGATGGAAATTGATGGCGAGCAGTCCTTCTTGAACGATCGTAGGAGCCATTCCCTCTTCCGGATCACTGGACCTGTCCCTCTGCGGTGTGGTAGGTCCCATTCCAAACCCAAAACCCTTTACTCATCTTCACACATCTTCCTCCACACACATACATACACCAACCCTATGGAACTGTGAAGTCAGACTTATGTGGAGCAGAACAGTAGGACTCATTCCTGCAGTTAAGGGTTATTGTTGTGCTGTGTTGTACTGTACTGTGAACAAGTGAGTGAATTTGGATGAGGTTGAAGGGCAGTTTGACTTTCATCAATTCCATCAGAAAGGTTGTTTACTGACTAAAGCAAAGCTGTGAGATAACTGTTGTTTTGATGTGGCGTTATATTAATAAAATTGAATTGAATAAAACTGTGTGCAGGGTAAATTAGAGGAAAAAGGATTTAGGGAAATTACATACTGAGTAGTCAACCCATTTTTAACAAATCTGTGATGATTAAAAGGAAAATCCTTTTTATTTTCTTTTTTGACATATGTTCTCCAAGCCAATCACATGTTCAACAACCCAAAAAAGTTAATGACACACTTGGTGATTAGAGTATTAGAATCTAAACTTTGCATTCTTACTCTTCCAGGCATTGAAAGAGTTTGCCTGCCACCTGATGCCAAAGTTACATACAAGGATGGAACAGATACTGACGTTGATGAAGAAATATTCAGTGACCCCATTAAACCAGGCAATGTTTTAGAGAAGGTTTATTGTCCCTAAGGTTGCGATATAAAAGCAAATTAAATAGAGCATCATACCGATTTTACAAAAGGAGTTTATTGCTTTTTGTTTTCACAGGTCTCTGGATGATGTGCTTCAAAGTCTGACCCAAGCCTCAGCTCAAATGCATCAACTTCGACAGTGGCATTGTGTACCAAAATGGTAACGATATCTTTTCTGCTGCTCTTAACTCTTTCACCCTGCTGGGACATATCTGTGAAATCTGAATATCGCCATACATTTCCTTTCTGTTCATTTTATAGCAGTTCGAAGGTGTCCTTCAAAGCAAGTCTGTTGGTGAAGAAGTTCTACAGGAGTTTAAAACAACAGAAACCCAACTGATGCCACATGAAGACAGATGGTGAACATAGTGGTGGCTCACATGACTAATAAACATGGGTAGGTGTGTTTTTACTCATTTTATTCAATGTAAAAATGGACTACTTGTCACTAATCAGAAATGAGTAAAGTCCCTTATTTAAAATGGTCTTCTTTGCTAATACCTGTATGTTTTGGAAGCCCTCCTGCTCTGTGTGGCTTGCCTCTAGTTTACCTGGCATCTCCAGTGCTCCAGCGTGCGTGTGGCAGTGGCGTGGGTCCGGTGGTGGCGTGCCACCCTGGTTTTCAAAACGATAGTTGGTAAAACTGGGATAAAATCTTATATATTCACTGTAAAATTATTTAAAGATGTTACAATATGTTTCGGTTGACGTGTGAGGAGGGATGACAATTTAATCTTAGGAATATAGATGGCTGTGTGTGGGAAATTGGTTTTCACTGCACCTACAGGCTCTTCAAACTGTTAGGGTTGGGTCGCTGCTGTCCGTGGTGCTGATGAGGGAGGGAGTGATGCTGCTGTCCGTCGTGCTGATGATGGAGCACCGCCACTGCTCTCCTCCGTCCGCGGTCCCGCTGCAGCCGCTGTGTTGTTGCTCTCCGCCTGCTCCTCCGCTCTAGTTCCTCTGTCCTCTCCGGTACGGCACCGCAGTCCAGTGATGGTCCCCTTCCTCCATCACGTAAGTCAGTGTGTTAATAGTTTCGATAAAGCATGTTTAAAACTTTTGTGAAAAAGATTAGTCTTCCGAACTCGTGTTAAAATACTAATTCAGAGAACCCACAACATTTAAAAAAGAATACTTTTTATTAAATAAATAAATGAATTAAACAAATTGAAATAGCGAGCCAAAACACAGCAACGTTTCAATCCCTCGACGGGATCTTCCTCAGGCAGATGGCTTCCTCACAGAAAGTAGAAATTGCAGAGGAGATCCTTCTGTGGAGCTGCTCTCTCTGCCTGTGGGGGGGGGGCAGTCTTCGGGATTCCAGGCTTAAGTCCACGTCAACTGCTGCTGGGACTCGTCAGGGGACGGGGACCGGGTTTCTGCTTCCATCACCACCAGCTGGCTCCATGTTCCCAATCAGGGGATGCAGTCCGGGGGCCAGGGAGAGAGAGCCCCCCACCAAGTCTGGACATGACAATGAGGGAAGAAGAGAAAAGAGGTAGGAGGAAAGGAATCGCTGGGTCAGAGTCACAGTAAAAGTGTCCTATTGGTCCATTGAGAGTGGTTAGGGGAAATAAAAAGAAGGAATAAGGCAAATGAAATCTAAAGGAGTAATTGAAAGCAAGGGTAACTCACCCTTCTTCTTCTCACGATCTGGAGGTGTGGTTCCTACCTGGGCAGCCTGTGAGGTGGGTTCATCACTTTTTAGTTGAATTAGCAGAGGAGTCAGGTCCTGACCTCCTTACATTCTTCATTTTCCAGGTGATGAAGGCTGTCCAGGTGGAGAGGACCTCCCCCCCTAATGGATGAGGGGAGTATGTAGGTCGGTACCAACCTTCTGTGTGTCTGCAGCTGTTCTGGGGCTGAGCGGCGCTGTGGAGTTCTGCAGCTGTGTGAAGGGAACCCCGACAACAGGAGGACATATATCCACATGCAGGGACACTATGGAGCCAGCCGGTAAGAGTCCAACAGCTCAGCACAAGTCTGACCTTCACCTTAGTCCAACCTTGACATTACTTTTTTAAAAATCTGACCTTGAGTTTATAAAAATATGACCTTGAATTTTTTGTATGACCTTGAAACGACCTTGACCTTTTAATATGACCTTGACTTTTGGGGTCTGGCCTTAGGGTTAGGGGTTAGGGTTCAGGTTTAGCATAAGTCCCAAAATGTTTGGTAAGGGAACATGTTTGACATTTTGGACCCAGGGTTCAGGGTTAGCATAAGTGACATGATTTACAGGAAAAGGACAATATTTTGACATTTTGGACGTTTTTGGACACGGGGGACATTTTGGACATTTTTGGACACGGGGGAAATTTTTGGACATGGGGACATTTTGGACACGGGGGACATTTTTGGACATGGGGACATTTTGGACATGGGGACATTTTTGGACATGGGGACATTTTGGACATGGTGGGACATGTAGAGACATGTAAACAATAAACTGTTATATAACTATTAATATGTAAAGGACAGTTTAATTTTCAAGTTTTTACATTACTTTGTTTACTTGCGCAAGTATATTTGCACTTTGTAATTATAAGTACATTCAGTTATCTTTGTTTCATTCTCCACTTTACTGCAGAACTGTGCACACAACATTTAGTTATCTCCTTCATTTACAACTTGACTGTCGTTGAGTGCACACCACATACTGAGTTCTCTGTCATTCTACACTTTACTGCTGTACTGTGCACATCTCATTTTGTCCTCACTTCTCTCTCATTCTGTACCTGACTGCCGCAGTGTGCACATCACTTTGTCCCCACGTCTCTCTCATTCTGCACCTCATTGCTGTACTGTGCGCATCCCACTTTTTCACACTTCTCTTTCATTTGCCATTCTA